TTCAAGGACTGAGACATCTGTTTTATGTTCTCTTTGTCCTATCTGCAAAATGCATGTGAAAAATCTTTGTGTGTATCATGTAAAGTTAATAAATTAAATAATTTTGTTACCTCATACAGAAGCAGAGCTACTGCAGTTATGTAAATTCCCAGAAAAAGAAGATGTTTTCCAGCACTGGAGGTATCATCTCCATAAATATCTCATACAGGAAAAAAATGACTAAGCAAATAAAAACAAATCTTAGCCAAAACACAGAAGAGGATATTGAGGAAATTGATGCCACCAGAAATAACATGCACTAGGCCAACACAAGACAGTAGGGGCAGATGGTTAAATTAAGCTTTAAAGTAATTTAGATTCACACAAAATAAAGTGTCTGAAATACCAATTTGCCTTGAGTAGAAGATGCCAGATTCCTTGAAGAACATTTTTACATCAAAATCTGGGCTGGACTCAATCAGGAACTATTAATTTGTATAGCAAGACTGAATACATCCTTTTCCCTGAAGCACTGTACTCTGCAAAACCTCCCAGTTTTGCCAGAACAGAAAGGATGAAAGGTGAGCATTTGTACCATACTGCATTGCTGATAAACCAAACCCGAGTTAATAATTTAATGCATTAATGAACGACAAGAAAAGGAGTTACAACTGATCCAATGTATAAATTCCAAATACGATGTTTATTTTCTTTAAATTGGTTCTATGCATAGATAACTGTGCTTCCATTTTCGCCTGAAACTAACTCATATTACTTGTGAAGATTGACACTATCCAAAATATTATCCTGTGGTATGCAAAAATCTGAGTTGGTTTCTTTCATACTAATGATAAATTAATGTAAAAAGTTTCTTTAGAGTCATATATACTATATATTCATACATTTTCATAAATATTAATACAGATTACAAGGAAGATTCCAGCAAGAACACTTGCTGGAACCATGGGAAACAGAAATTCAAATTCCTGACATAGGAACTGCAAGTTGATCATTCTCTCTCTCCTTCCCTGTCTGTTATTTATAACAGGTTCAACCTTCATTATTAATTTTGAATAACTATTTATTTCACAGCAATGATTATTCCACTAGTATTACAGAACCATAGAATCCCTAAGGTTGGAAAAGACCTTTAAGATCATCAAGTCCAACCATCAACCCAACACTGCCATGACCCCTAAACCATGTCTCAAAGTACTGTTTTTTGAACACCTCCAGGGATGGTGACAACACCACCTCCCTGAGCAGCCTGGGCCAAGACCCCCACTCTTCCAGGGAGAAAATTCTTCCTATTATCCAATGTAAACCTCTCTTCCAGCAACTTACAACCTATTGCCTCTCATTCTATCACTAGTTACTTAGGAGGAGAGACCAACATCCACCTCACTCCAACCTCCTTTCAGGGAGCTGTAGAGACCAAGGTCTTCCCTCAGCCTCCTCTTCTCTAGATCAAGCAGTTCCAAGTCTCTCAGCCACTCCTTATAAGTTATGTTCCCCAGACCCCTCACCAGCTTTGTTGTCTTTCTCTGGACATGCTCCAGAACCTCAATTGTCTTTCTTGTACTGTGGTGTATTATATTTGTGAAGGGCAAATTAAGTACAAGCCACAAATTGGTTAGGTAGGTCATCTTCTAAAATGAATCTGTCCAGTATAAGGGATCATAAATTTTACAGAAGTCAACAGTGCCATGCTATTGTGAAAAAGGCTGGACTGTCAAACAGCAGAAGTAAACAGATTGCAAGGCATGTCAAGGAATAAATTCTCCATAGTACCGGCATCAGCTTATCTGAGTATCATGTTCACCTTGGACCACTGGCCTGTCAAGAAAGGCATGGAACAGCTGGAGAAAGACTAGAGGAAATGAAGAATTGATAGAAAATTTGGAAAATGTGACCACAAAGGAACTATTGAAAAAAAATAGCAGTTATTCAACCTGAAGAGGGAAGGGCCAAGGAAGGATATGATAGCAGCTTTTCATTAAGCAAGAGAAGAAAGGAGTGATCTGCTTTCTGTGCCTATAGGACTAGACAAGAGTCAATGCATTTCTTGCAAGAACATTTCTACATAGAAAGAAAATGTTTCTTATAGTGAGCAAACTGCAGCATCATGAAAGCTGCTTTCTTTATTGAAACTTTCTTTACTGCAAGTCTCCAGGAAGGATAGATAAATATCTGTCAGGAAGGGCAAAAATAGTGTACTTTGCCTCTCAACAACAGAGTGGACTAAAAAGAAATCCCAAAGCCCATTTCAATTTATTTTTTATGATTTTTTGAGAGGAAGGTACCTCAAAATAGCAAATGGGACATTGGTTTTCAGATAACATAAAAACCCACCTCCCTGTCTCAAACACATCCATACTTGTCAACACTATTTAAAACAATAATGAAGGTCCAAAAGGGAACCTTCAGATTCAGATTCATTAACCAGATCTTTCAAGAAAACACAGACTGCAGCCCGAGACAGGAAAGACATTTAGGGAGTCACATTTAACACAACTACTATTTTGAAAGCAAATCTTCAACAAACACTCCATGGGTACCACTATCCATCCAGTTTTGCCCCATCCTAACATACCTTCAAGACCAAGACCATTTGCAGTGAAAATGTTATGTAAACCAACGTCAAAAGTTCTACTTAAGTAAGTTACATTAGTTATAAGGTTATAAACACTGTATAGTCTAACTATTGAGTCTTTTAATTGCATTGTGTTTATTTTTAAAGATTTAATAAATTCTTACATAACATTAATTCTAAAGAAACTTTAATACCTCTTAAGTATCCTCCCTGCCATGGGCATGGACATCTTTCACTAGATCAGGTTGCTTAAAACCCCATTCAACTTCACCTTGAACACTCCCAATGATGGGGCATCTACAACTTCTTGGCAGCCTGTCTCAGTGTCTCACCACCCTCATAGTAAAAGAATTTCCTTCTTATATCCAATCTAAATCTATTATTTTTCTGTTTAAAATCACTATTTCTTGTCCTGTCCCTACGACCTTGGTAAAAAGTCTTCCTCCGTCTTTCTTATAAGCCCCTTTGCATACTGAAAGGTCACACTAAGGTTTCCCTGGAGCCTTCTCTTCTCCAGGCTGAACAACCCAAAGTCTCTCAGCCTGTCCTCATAGGAGGGTGGTTCCAGCCCTCTGGTCATTCTCGTGGCCATTCTCTAGACTCCTCTAAGAGGTCCATGTATTTCTTATAGTGGGGACCCCAGAGCTGGATGCAGTACTCCAGGAGGGATCAGTTTTATAACCTGTTTTTCAAAAAAGGCAATTCCAATAGGTTATTACCATTTTAAGGTGGTACTCAAAGAGCATCAAAACACTACTGTGTAAATGTTTTATAGTAACTGTTTGGATAATAGAAGGGGATAGAATTTAGCTTTAATAACAATTTCATAAAGTATCCAATAATCAGTTAACATCCTTTGACCAGTTAAGGTACTCTAAGCAATTACTTGTCTGACATATAACAAAAGATAAAGTGAATTTACATAGGAAGTGTACACAATATTATCATTCTTGTTAATACATCATCATCATGAGAAAGTAAATGAAGGTATTAATTTTATTCACATTTAGACTTTGGAGGTGTCTGAATATGCAAAGCAACATCACAGCCTCATCACAGCACAACGTAAATAAACAATATTTCAAACAGCATCTGCCTCTATCATATGCTATTATTGTCAAAGTATATAAAGTATGAACATTACCTTTGAACTGAATAAATGTTAACTTAAAAATATAATTAATTCTATTGTTCAAAAACTGGAATTAAACCATCAAGCAATGATTCACACTGCTTCACAAATAATTTGATGGCTGCTATTGATCCTTTTCATTGCAGAGCAGCTTAACACAATAAAGTAAATTACTCAGCTTGGCCAACTGATTAATTTCATAAGTCATTTTCTGATACAAAAATTCATAAAAACATAATTATTATGAAATAGCATCCGAAGTATTTTTTAAAATACATAACTATTGTCTGAACCTTCAGAGACATATCTTAAAAACAAGATACTCTTATTCACTGCATCATTTACACCTTTTACATAATGTAATCAAGGGATTTAAATAACTCAGTTTAATATTTATCCAGGAACTGGCAGCTAGTATTCTACCCTAAGGGATGGAAGTCTTCATAAAAAGCTCATTTTACACGACACTGTAGCAGTTTTGGCATTACCAGCACCTCTCACATAAACCATACTGAAAACTATAGTTTCTCCTGCCAAATGCCTTTTGTACATATGGTGTTTAACAGTGCTCTGTAGGTCTGTAAGCCAATAATAATAGATTTAAGCTAAAAATCTGGAGACACACACATATATGTAACACAAAAATTTAAGCGATGCTATATATTCATATCAGTATATTTACTTACACACTCCACATGCATATAAGCATAGATGATTAAAAATACGCTTTAAAATAATATGCTAACCATATCTCTTGTAAAATAACTTCTTTTCCAATTTGCAGTAGCTTCCTAAAGTTTAATTCTCCTGTTGACATCAGAGGCAGAAATTCCATTTACATCAGCAGTATAGAAGCAGGCCACAAGAAACGGAAAGAAATAGATTTAAAGACAGCACATACATGTGTGTAAAATCTTCTAAATATGCAAGGGTGGGCTTGGCACTTTACGAGGTCAGCTTTCCCAAATTATATTTTAAAATAACGTGTTTGAAATCCTACATCTCTAATAATTTGTCTAAAAATACTGTATATAACAACAGAATAAAGCCCAGCTATGTGTCCACATGTAGTAAGAGATAAACCCAATGAAATATACGTTGTAGGTAATAAACTTCACAACCCTGTTTACATTTGAACAGTCTGATTTTATGTCATACTCTAACTGAAGTGAATCAATGAGTTAGTATTTAACGCAACTTTAGAATTAAGACACTTTTTATAAAGATAAGCAATATAGTTAGGAGTGTCAATACATGGACAACTCTGTAACAGGAAACAATGCCGAAAAAGCTTACCGCTTTCAAAACAGGCATCAAATATAAGATGTCCTTTTTTAGGCTGTCCACAATAACCAGCTGGGAGAACAGCGTACTTGCTCACGTTCCCTGCTATGATATCATCACCTCCTATGGCACTACCTGTCACAGTAAAAGCAAAGAAAAACATGAGCATAAAACAACAACAACAACAAAAAAACAGTAGAAGGAGACTCCCCTCATGCTTTTCTACATAACATGAAACTTACACTACTTAACATATGCACAGTAAATGAACTTTCTTTTCAAAGTTTATTTAAGAATTTGGATATAATAATGGCATTATATGTTAAAGCTTCTCTAAGTAACAAAGCACACTGCCTGGTTTTTTGCACATCCGTGTCCTGTGGCTGAACACTCTCACACACAATGATCTGATATTCAGCTGGATCCACCTCTTTTGACTGGAGCTAACAACTGTATCCTGCATGGAAGTCCTAGAACTGAACTCCTCAGCAGCACCTTCCTTTATCACAAGCCTCAGCAGCACCTTCCTCACTAGGGGCACTAATGGGACCTTCTTCCTCCATTCCACTGCCTACTTGCATGCATCTTAAAAGAACTGAGAACCTTTGAGACCGTTAAGTCCCACTCATATTTGAAATTTGGAAATTATTAGAAGGGAGAGACATACACTCATAGAGGCATGTGATTATCTGAGCCTTATTTGCTTAGGACACAGAACGCAGAAAAAGAAGTGAAAGAAAAACAGTTTAAAATGTGGGGGTTATTTCAAAATAAAATATATTAGGACATATATTGTCTCTCCAATGGCATTATTTTTGTAAAAATAGTGCCCATGTTGAAAGCTCTGTCCTTCCAGTAAAATTATACTGTAAAAAATTGCAGGATGTAAGAATTTTGTTTCTAAATAGGAATGGAAAAACGCAGATTTTTTTCATTTGGGAAATATACAAGAAAGTAAGTTAGTAATTCTATATTATATCATACATTAATATTATAGTACGGTGAAGGAAATACACAATAATATAACTAGCTTTTCATTCTTTGGCATCAGCTCAGAATTTTCTTCACTATTTACTGTTTGGACAACAAATATTTAACATTAGAAAAACAATCTATGTTACAGAAAATTAGAAGAAATGTGCACAACTTCAAGTGCAGAAGGCACGTGATGGAATAATGGGATGATAATATCTTATTTCACTCTGATAAATAGGGCTACTAAGGATTCTAGAAATAGACTTCTGGTCTGTACTGATTTTTTGACATTTAAATGGGTTGCAGGGGATGATGAATGTGACATAAAGCTCAATTTGTTTTATTTTTTATATTGAAAACTATTTCACACAAATGTTACAAGCAATTCATATTGGCCTTGAATGATGAAAACAGCTTACTAATTAAAACTGACCTTTCCATACATAAATGTATTCCACTTCTTGAGGCAAAACACCTTAGCTCAGGTAACAAATTATGTCAACGTATTAGTGACACCGCAGTTAAAGGGTCTGTCAGGCTTTCTATCATACACCCATATTTTCAGAGGTATATAAATTCCAGAGTAAAAAATATGTACATCCAGGTCAACACTCAGCATACAAATCCCCAGTCTTCCCGGGGAAGAAATTTGAAATTCACTCTCTTTGAGAAGTACCACAGCAGAACAAATGGAATTTAAACCTTTCTCACTATCATAATCCAAAAAGTTAGATATTACCTAATGCATCCTATTATTTTTTAGCAAAATTATTATTTGCAACCTCAAGGTTATTTTAGACTGAATAATTACCCACAGATAGCAATCCGCAGCATTTAAACTGCTTTCTTTAAATGTAAAATTGCTACCTATGATAGTTTTAGCTACACGTTTTTGACCGGCGTGCTGCTGCAATCTCCTCTAAGGCTGGTAACACCAGAGGCAAACTTGGACCTAGATGGGGCATCTGGGTATCTGTATAGCCACAATGCTGTCACTCGACACAATTCATCCTGCTGCATCATGCAACCTGTAATTCAGAAAAGAAGCCACAGGGAAACCATTTCCACAGTTTCAGTTCAGTGCCACTTTGATTAAGAGCCCCCTTACACCTGTCACAGTTAGTCAAGTTAATCATTTGTAATCCCACACATGGAATCAAGCATACCATGTTAAAAAAAAAAAAAAAAAAAAAATTATCGGGGAAAACCTGCAGATCTCCACCAAGAATGTGTGACCTGCCAGGGACCAAAGTGAAAGGATGAGAGGCAGGGAATCAACTGAGCAGAGCAGTAAGAAGACTGAACTCCTCCTGGCAAATGCTCACTTAAAAGTCTCAGCTAAGAGTAACAGGCTTCTTGTAATTCTTAAAAGACAGCTAGGAAACACCACTTAAAGAAAACAGAAAAGATTACATTTATAATACTGCCATTATAAAACAGCTTAGGAAAAGCAGGCAGAAGACACAGCTACATCTCCTTTTCCATCTAACAGACAATTAGAAAATCTGCCAATAGAATCTTTACATGGTGCAGAAGGAAACTGTCAAGTAACTGTGTCCTAGCAAAAAGTTTCCATCTGCTCCTCCTGGCCTAATGTCACCATTCAGGAAGGAAAATAAAATCATCAAATAGCCTATAACTCATAGTCATTTAAGGATCTTAATCTCTCCTTGCATATTATTACGCAGTACTTTAAATATTTAGAATGTCCTGTTATATTTTGAGTTATGTTATCTTTATTATTAATCTCTAAACAGGCAAAACTGCAATCTTTGAACTTCATGTTATTATATAGCACAACAGCTTTATGTCCCTTCAGGCATGTTCTCCTTGGGTGCAAAAGAAAAAGCCAAACTACTGGCCAAAAAGAGCCTGCACTGCTGGATTAGACTATAAAACACGGCTTCATGCTTGTCTGTTCAGCGGATGCAGCAAGTGGTGCTGAGAACATGTTACCAGCTTCAGATGGAGAGAGTTGTTACACTGTGCCCTAAGTCCTCTTGGTCAGTAAAGAGATAACTGTCCTCACAACTGGGAGCCCTAAGTAGATTTTCCCATCTGAAGGCAAAGATGTATGACAGAAACTTGTAGGGAAGGAAAACAGCACTTCAGTCTGAAAACTGAAAGGGAAAGAAGAGAATTAACTGAAGTACATCCTGCACATTACACTTAAGGAGATCAGATTCTCCTTTGAAAAAATGTTAGATAAGACAAGCAAAGGCAAAAGTAACTTAGCAAAGACATTTTCTCAGACTGTAAGTCTTATTTTGTCAATTATTTTTCTCATGAGTTGTAAGACACACACCTATCTTATTCTAATTCTTCATAGCTTAAACTCCCGGAGCCACCAGCAAAACCCTAGGATTCACTTTTACCACAGTATTAAACTTCAATGGTAATTTCTATGTGGTATAAAATCTGTAGGTGTCTGAAATCTGTCAGTATGTAAGATTTTAAAACAAAACCTGGACAGTGTCTTCTGTCATCTGCATTTATCACGGATATATTTCACATCAAACCAGTGAAAACATACAAAATCAGTTACATGGGACTGACATTCTTAGAAAGAGTAGGTTGTAGACTTCCAGAGCTTCTTGCAATTTTTAAGTTCAAAGGTTAATGACAAGATTTTTTCCATTTTGGCTAAGATTAAAACTGTATTGGCTACAATAAACACCATGCAAATTGACATACTTTTTCTTTTCTTTCACAAACTGCAGTTTCTAGAGGGAGCTACCTTTTAGTAAATAATAGTCACTCTTTGAATTGGGTAAATAACAAGCCCAGCTTCCAGCTGCGACAAACTTCAGAATCCACGGCGTTAGCAGCCGGCAGCTACCCTCATGCTACATTAGGTAGTAGCGCACAGCTGCATGAAAAGAGACATAGAAAATCAGGAATTTGCCTGGAAAACCTGCATTATTCTCACAATCAGACTTCCTGCCTAACAAGGACAGACAATTACAAAGATAAGGTAGCATGAAAAGATATGATAACTGCACATGAACTTTGCAGAAGGATCTCCCTAAATATTACAAATGTCATCGTGACACCCCTCTGTCTGTTAGGGGATCCTTATTTTATAATAAAATTAGAATACATTTTGCTACTGAAAATGTCTGTGGTATAAAGATCTAATAGACATACTTCAATCATCAAGCCAAGAAATGTTTCCAGATATCCTAGCAAAGAGTTTCATCACCGTTGAGCAGTATTGTTATTTTAAGTCCATAAAGGAAGTGACTGGTCAGTACAGTTTGCAAAAAACAAAAATTCATCCAGATGACCAACACCAACTCCTGATACCTCCAAAACATAAGAAGTGTTTGGATGAATATTCCTAAAATCATGGTCAGCTTAAATCACAGTCACCATAATCTGAAAAGTGAATGAAATTCTTTTAAAACTATGAGTCCCAGGGTTTGGGAGAATATCTGGTGTGGTACCAACTATACCTGCTGCCTCACTTTCACGTGCTACGCCCATACTGCTACTATCACCTCTTTCAAAGGTCAAGCAGAACAAGGAAAATGTTATCACAGAGAGCATTCTCATACAGCCTGCTCTAGTTCTAAAAAATAGTAGTGTTGTGTTGCTATTTAGAAACCAAATTTGAAATAAAGCATCTGTATAGTAGCTGTATCTTCAATTACCTTCCTCCTACAGTTTGACCAACAGTTATCAAGAGTCTGTCTCCAAACTGCAAGAAGATATTCATATGAAGAAAACATTCAGAAGAAAAGACAAGTTTAGCAGAGATTATCAGGTAAATTCTGAGCTTTGCAAAGCTTCTGAAAGTACTCAGGAAAAATAAACTGCAAACTCACTGCAACGGACATGAAAAAGCTTTGGGAAGACGGCATAAATAGGAAGGAAACATTGTAATTTCTTGAGGTTTTTTGAATTTATTTTTAGTGCACAAGTTACTGGTTCTAAGGAGACTCCAAGAGAATGTATCCTTTTAATCTTCCTAGCACCATTCCTTGACTAATGCACCATTAACTTTCTTTTTTTTTAGGTTAGAAGGTGTAAGTGCATCTAAACAACTCATGCTTCTTTAGATACACACATCCAAACCAATTTACTCTAGCAGAAGGTATGGCATAGGTCTCCATCAAAGCCGAGAGTAGAAAATCCTCGTTCTTATATGTAAACATGCCAAAGCAAAATGATCAGTGAAGATGTCAC